CAATATATGTGTTCGAAAAGAGCACGAAATGGAAGTTCGTTGAAATGTAGAAGACAAAYMACCCACTGTAATGGCCTACCTATTCTTTCTTCTAGTTTCCGAATGATTCCACCTTTCTAACCTGCGTTAGTGTTGGTGCCATCAGCACCGACAACTTCTAGATGTTCCACATCAACTGAATTGTCTTGTAAATGTTGCCATATAGCTTGCGCCTCATCCTCAGCTGACCCGGAAGGAGAGGTGACGTGGCCAAAGTAATGACAACCAGGTTCCGCTATAAGAAAAATATGTTTCTCTTTGACAGTGTCGCGGTAGTACTTTTCACCTTCGCTGACTTGTGTAAGTGTATTGTCTTTGCGGCCGTCAAAATACAGCCCATATACAGAGTCAATGCTTTGGGTGTTTTGGAGCTTAACTCCAACACTTGTTTTTGCCCGAGTAATTTTGCATTTGTCAGGGACAAAGCTAGCCTGATCCTCTGTTATCAAACCTGCTTTTTTGGCATCCAGAAAAGCAGATGAAACAATCAAGGCCGTTGCTCTATCACTTACTCCAAATCTGTGGGCAGCTAAAGCAGTGTTTTTTTTTTGGTTTTAGAGTATGGAAGAGAAAATTCATCATCAGCATCGTGTTTGGAAAAATCCATGTGCGACGCACCTATATTGTTGTCGTCTGTATGAGATCTGAATGGTCACGTGTTCTAGCTGATACTTTTCTGGTAAGTGTTGATGTTGAATGACGTTTTGAAAGGCTTTTGTTACGTTCACTTTTCTTTGTAATCTTTTTTGTTTCAGGTAGATCAACACTTCCAATGCGACCAATTCTTCTGGTTCTCTGGTCCAAGAGAAATTGTTGTTCATTGATAGGAACTTTCCGTTCCTTTGGACAAGTGCAAGAAGAAAAATAAATAAATACACAAGCAGAGATGTCAAATAATTTTTCAGCAGAAGAGACAAAGCCGTCTCTTTTAGAGCTCAAACCTATTGGGTTCTTTAAAAACATTTGTTTAAGAGTCAGAAATTTCTTATGGTTTGTGGTGAGCGTTTGTACAACCCTGRTGTGTGAAACTATCGGAATAGATGACTTTTTGAAAGTATTTATTTCTGTAACCTCTTTACTCCTATGTTCATAGTTGTCGCCTCGGAGTCGCCCTATACGAAAACTTTCAAACTGATAACACAAAAGAACTTCCTGGTAAGTAGGTAACTGGGACTCAGAGAGATTGTACGGATATATGCCAAACACAGAACATTTCTGTCTAAATTTAAATTTAGATACAGACATTTTGAGTTCTGTGTTCTGTTGAGAGAAGATAAGTGATAGCACTCGGCGAAATTAACGACAAGAGTGAAGGAGACCAGTCCGAACGTGTCGTATGGCGCAGGGAAATGAATGTAAGTGATAGAACTCGGCGAAATCACCGACAAGAGTGAAGGAACTCGATGAAAAAATATTTGTGTGGAAACCTATCCGAACGTGTCCTTTGGCATAGGTGAATGAATGTGAGTGACAGCACTCGGCGAAATCAACGTCAAGAAGTATGACAGCAAGCCGATTTTCACCTTGCGCTGTGGCATTCTCGGGAACGGTTCGTCCTATGGCCATGATCACATATACCATTTCGGTAGCAAATGACGTGAAAAATAACTTTTTTACATTTTGTCATGAGATGCGTATTTCAGGCGCTAGGTAGACAATTTCACGATTTTAGGCGAATTTCCGAAATTTCAAGGCCGGAGTTGGATTTGAAGATGAAATCCGATCTCAAAACAAAAAGTTGCATTGGAATCAGGAAGTACTAAGGCAACTTTTCCGCATTATTAGAAATCCTGAATCGAAAAAAGTCCGGAATCGACCCACCCTAGTGGGCATCTGCCTGACTCCTTATTCCTTAGGTCTCGATCAGCATTTTTGCCATACCAAGGAGCATTTACTATGCCTCTTAACACCTTGTTTTGAAAACGTTGTATAATATTAATACTGACATCATTGGCATATCCCCCTGGTTTCGCACCATATGACCATACCGGTTTGATTATTTGTTAATAAAGACGTAATTTGTTGTACATGGACCAGAGAGCTGCAACAACTATGATAAAATCAGAACAAACAGTCGTGCCAAAACACACTCAAATCAATTCGGTTCAACATAGAGAACATTGTTAATCAATTCGAGTAGCCGACAGCGTCAACTGATCTGATGCAATACGAACAATCTGTTCTTCGAGTAAACGGTATGGCTGGCTTTGGTTCCAATCGTATCATGAGAGTTCATACCGTTGCGAGGATTGTTTCAATTGATGTGAAACTTTGGGTATACTATAAGTAAATCTACGAGTAAATGTATAGGTACAGCAAACAACAACAATTTTCTGCTGGACTGATTTGAATCATATGTGGCAAAAAATGTATCAGCTTTGAAAATGTGCGGATGTCACAAATTTTCGATGTGTAAACAATGGAAATTCCATTATACATATAACATATGTATATACATACATACATGTACATAYAAACATATGTATATGAAATAGAAAAGAAGTGCTCGACTAAATGACTGTTTAGAGGATGATATACACACCGAACGCTCTCGATCATTTCAATCATTGAAGCATGCGTTTGTATCACTTTGGGTATTTTCTGCTGATGCGAACGTTCATAAACAAATCAGGTATAAGCTGATCGCTATTGATTCAAAGTTGTCTATCGCTGATTTGAAGAGAAACGGTGCGCTTCGTGTACATGAACCGAACTGACAGAATCAGACAGACTAACGGATCAGTACTTAAGTATAAACAAAAAAAATTATTACTCGTAGCAGTTCTCTGGTATGGACAGGTTTGACCGTCACCCAATTAGACTTCTCATTTTCGACAATTTCAGATTTAGTTCAATCCGTTGCTGTATTTGCATATGGTACGCAATAGCCTTATAGGTTGATAAGTGATTCTTTTGTTTGTAAAATTTACATGAACCGACTTGCACCGTTTAGTTCTATTCTCCATTTTTTAGTCCAACTTACAACAGAGTTGATTGCGTGTTGCAGGTTTAGCGCAGCTTACAGTATTGCGATGTCATCAGCAAAAGTGGCAGTCATACTGTTTGGTGCTAACTTTAAGTCTCTTGTATACAGAATATATAAAAGTGGACCTAAGATACTCCTGCTTTAAATTCTTTTAGTTTGTAAAACTCATTTTCTTGTTTTACACGGAAAAATCTCCCGGTGATATATAAACCTAGAAGGGCACAAAACTCAATCGGAAGACATGGTTTTAATTTCTGCATAAGGCCTTCGTACCATATTGACGACGAAAAGCGTTAGTACGCACAATATTCAAACTACAAGAATTACATTAAAAGCAATTAACCAACCTCTGTCAATTACTGCAATAGATTCCCCGCTCACAAATTTATTATAGGAGGCGACTTTAACGTTAAGCATGTTTACTGGGACACCAACAAAATTCTTTGTAACCAGGACGATGTTTCGAAATTTCATAGAAATAGAAGTTATATTTAACACTAAGTGAAACAATCATTAAAAGAGATCTTAGTCTGAAGCTATACAACCAAAATGCGGACTGGATTTCGTTCAAACAATTCCTTCAGACTAAAATTCAGTGCCCGAAAATTACAACCATTTAGCAACTAGAGTCAGAAGTTAACACATTTGCGAAAGACATTCAACAGGCACCTTGGGATAATACTCCGGAGATAAAGCGGAAAATTAAGTTAAGTACTCCTTTCGCCGCTAGGGCCTTCGGCCGAAATCTATAAAAACCGGCCAAGACCCGGGGTAACCAAAGTATTTTATTACGTTATATTGTTTTACTTTATGTTCATTAAATTTAAATAAGAGAATATCCATATGCGTGGAACTATTGTTTATACTCATTTTAATTTCAAATATATTTTACAGACACACTTGTTTTTATTAGAACTTCGTTTGCTAAATAAAGAAAGAGAAATTTCCGTAAATTGCTCATATTTGCTTATTATCAGATGGCAGCGCTCCATTTTCTCATAATTGTTATCACATAAATAATTCTCACTACAAGTGTAAAAAGTGATTTTTAAAGTAGAGATTTCTTACTTATAAAGCCCGCATAAGGTGTAAATTGTAAATTTGTTTAAATGCTTACAGTTTAATTAAATGAATTTAAAGCGAAAGATGTGCATAAAGTGTCTTAAATGTAGTGAAATAGATTGCTGAAATATTCGAATTTTGGGAACTTTTAAACTTTAAAGTCGAATATCTCTTTCCAGTGCAAAGCGTGGAAATTGAGTTTTTGCCATCCAACAGCACATCCAAGCCGCAGCCCTTTGACATGGAAATGGTTATTAATTTGGCTAACAGCATTGATGCAAAAAATTTTAATTGCGCCATATCAACAGCCATACAAATTGCTTATAAAGCGTGGAAAAATATGAGCATATGATGTATTCAAAACTGCTTCCGTATTTGGGGTAAAATATTAAATCATGATTTATTGGAGGGCAGTTCATTGAACATAGGTAYTTTTCAGGTTATCTCTAAATTCCGGTACTTTTGAGGAATACGGCGACAACGAAGTTGCTGTATCTGGTATGTTGACAGATAATGATATGTCGGAAGAAGTTTTGCATATAAATAACGAAGTGGCGAGGATGATAATGACGCGGAAGGAGGTGAAATTTTAACCAACATACAAGCCAGAGCGTTAATTCCACAACTAAAACTTTTTTTCAACATATAATGTACCTGACAGTGTATTTGATAACGTAATCAAAATGAAATAAGAAACTCAAGGGACTGTGAGAACTGTGAGAACTGTCAAAAGCATAAGATCATAAAAAAAGCTTGAAGTTTCAAAAAGATTTTGTTCTATTTGCCAGCGCTTTTGACAATAGATTTCGTAACTATGGTTGCCGATACTTTTTTCTTTCTATATTGGCACACAAACATTTTATCACATAACCATTTTCGATAATTTCAAATATTTAACGTATATATAATAAAATAACGTTTCACAAAAAACTAGTTAAAATTAAATTTAAAAAGTACTTAAACTATTAATAATGTTTTGTTTGGCGTTTTGATCCACAAGATATTAAGTAAGTGGCTACAGTGCTTTAAACATCTCTGCCGTAACTTTATTTATTTTTTTTGATAAAAATTGTGGCAGTTTAAGAATATTTTTTATTTAACCGCTATTTTTAAATTAAATATGTTCCATGTTCCAGGAAATGTTAATTAGTGAAATTGAAAAACATTAATGCATCTGGGACAAAACTCAGTTGTGTTACAGGGACAGAAATCAAAAGAAACTGGAGAGGGTAAATATATGTTATGAAAATTAAAAATGTATCTAATTTTATTTTACACATTTATTTTTAAAGAGGCTCATTGTCGCAAAAGGTTTAAATCTTTGCGTGACCGCTACGCCATAGAATTAAAATTGCAGCACCAGACCAGTGGAAAGGAAGTAGCACCTTTAGGATGAACTGGTATTTCGCGCTCTTAACCTTAAAAAAGTCGCACTGAGAAAGAAAGTATATACCCAAGTAAAAATATTGCTTACAATTGTGCATATGATACACTAATGTATATATACGTACATATTATTTTAGGACAACAACAAATGTAATAAGTGACGCGGAAATTGATTTGGAATCATCATTTAACCTTGATTTCAATCAAAGCGGGGAAATAATTTTAGAAAAACAAAATACAGTGCCAGTTCCTCCTAAGAAAAATAAGCAAACGGAAAAGAATTTAGAATGCGTTCGTAGAGAATGTGAGCGAGTTTTTGAAAAAAAAGCCTCATGATAATATCTTGGAAGCAATAGGTTCTGCAATATGTTCACCAAAAAATTCAAAATTTAAATGAAATGCATTACATTAATGTATAAGTTTTATATAATATTCATATGTACATATAGATGCAAAATATTATTAATCGTATCGTATATCTAAAAATGAATCGCAAAATGTGTTGGTAAGTGCATAACTCAACAACGCCTGGTCCAATTTGGCCAATTCTTTTTTCTAAATGTTCGCTGAGCCTCAAAGATGGTTCTTACGGAGAGAAAAATTCGAATAATTGCCGGAAAAGCCCTAAAAAACAGCCCTTACAAACGAAAGAATGTTTGTTTGTTAGTAACGGCTCGAGAACGGCTGAACCAATCTGTTAGATGCTGGATGTACTCTGTTGAGTTGCAAAAAAGAGGTTTGCCGCACGCACACATTCTTATTTGGATGGTTGATTGTGGTTACACAAGATCAAATTGATGAAATCTTTCTGCGGAAATTTATGATGCAGAGAAAGATCCAGTATTATACGAGGTGATGAATACCAATATAGTTCATGGACTTTGCGGACATCACAATTACACTTCGGTTTGTATGTCTGACAATAAATGCTCGAAACACTATTAAGGTGCTTTTCTTTCGCACACAAATTAGAAATGATGGATAAGAGCGCATATCGGCGTCGCTCACCAGACGACAATGGCAGAACATTCAGCATTCAAAGCTGACAATACATGGATCGCACTATATTCACCGCTATTGTCTAATTCACATTCAAAACTCATTTCACTGTTGAGTACTGTAGTATGATGAAATCGATAAAATACGTTTGTTAATACGTCACCAAAGGAAGCAACATGGTGGTTATTGGCCATGAACGATACGGTCGATACGTGAACTGCAATAAAGCGCTTTGTAGGATATTTACTTTCGTAACTATGGTTGCCGATACTTTTTTCTTTCTATATTGGCACACAAACATTTTATCACATAACCATTTTCGATAATTTAAAATATTTAACATATATATATATATGTATATATAATAAAATAACGTTTCACAAAAAACTACCAAGTACCATCAATCACCGTATCATCTTCATATATATTAATGAAGTTAGCACTTAGGTAGTTACCATTTTATAAAATTGAGCAAAACGATACAGCGCTTTAAAAACTTTTCAGCACTATTTGGTGACACATAGCACATATGAATGATTCTCCATTCAGAAGTAAATATGCCAAAAGTAGTCCTATACAGACAGACATCTACCTAGATAAGGCATTGATAAATGCCGACGAAGGGTAATGGCGAATCTACCATAATGCAGGTGGCCTCCAAGCTGGTATATCCTGGGTGATGCTGAATGGCCCGCAGCCTCCACGGCCTTACAACTCCTTGGACGACCTTTGGCTTTAGAATTTTTTATTTGGATTTGGTAGAACACTGAGCTGGTGGCGGCAGCATTCGGGCACCTGAGTATGATGAGGTGACAGTCATCAGAAATGGCTGTCGGGCTAACCACCCCCGTCCCGTTAAAACCCTGGCAGGCCTCAGAGTACGTACCCTTCCCGTCGTCGTTAAGTTGGCGTGATAGTTGAGGTGAATCCTTATTTGCGCTGGTCGGCTCTGAACGCATTGCCTCATAAGAGCGTACGTCAACCCTCGCCTTCGCCTCATCACGGAGATAACCTTGGGACCATAATCATTCTCAACCCTTCTCGTGCTCAGCTGTGAATTTTGGTGCTCTGTCGCATTTGTTTAATTTATATTCAAAACTTTATTGTGAAAATATTTGGATTAATTGTTCTTTTAAGATAAGTATCAGTGTTATATTATGCTATTGAAGCTATTGAATTTACTTTAATTCTGTGATGGCTAATTTAAATTTATTGTGCTGAGTCATTTTCAATTTATTTTTATTGCTACATTTTAAATAGTGCAATTGTTAGTGTTAATTTATATTGCTTACTTAAATTTCTTTCTTGTTTTTATTCGTTTCCATCTTTGTCCTCAGTTGTTCGCGAGTTTCTTACTTTTCGTTTGTTACAGTGCATCTTAAACTGCTCGCTACATAGGTTGTTATCTTTGATAACCAACTATTTTTATTGMATTCATTTCTTATAAATATTTTTTGTATTTCTCTTTTTACTTTTATTATTTAACATTTTTATATTTTTGTTTAATATTGTTTTTGTTTGCTCTGTGAAAGGCGAGTCGGAACGCTTTGTTTCTTGCTGGCTTTGTGATGGGCTTGCCCATCTTAAATGTGCTGGACTGACAGGTAGGATCTTGGATTCTATTCTTGACAGKAAGGGATTGCGCTGGTCTTGCTTAAAATGCAGACCAACTGAAATTGAATTGTTTAAGGTTTTTAAGCAGGCGCGCAATAGTTTCAAGGAGATTGGTCGTGAGCTTAAAACCCTTACTGAAAAATTTAGGCGTTATGAAACGCTGTTTCAATCGTTTCAATGTCTAAATATTCAGGAAGAGAATCCAAAAACTTCATCTAAACGTAAACGTCCGTCTGATGWAGATACCACTGTATCTTCCTTAAAAAGAATGCCCCACCCACTATTGACCTCATTAATCTTTCATCCCCTTGTCCTCAAGGAGAGAAGGTTCCGTCTGCTCAGGACACTGAGAAAACCGCTACTGAACWCGGTAAGCGGAAAACATCTCAAGATCCGCCTCCAAATACCTACAAGTCAGCTAATAAAAACTTAGTTATACCGCGGMAAAASGMAATTTTTATCTCGAGATTTGCTGCGGATACCKYAGTCGRTGATATAAWAAGTTACATCTCRTCGMAATTAAAAACGGCAGATACAGACGKCCGTAAATTTAAYKTCAASTAYAAYCGGGATATTTCGTCGTTTAAGATGGACGTATCCGCTTAGAGTTTTCAACTAAGACTTGACAACTCATTCTGGTCATCTGGGGTCTTTGTGCGCGAATTCGAGCACAAACGTGATAAGCCCCCTGTAGTTATCACTAAAATGCCAAGAAATTCCGTGAATACAAAAAACTAATTGACAACAATTCGCTGACTATTTATTATCAAAATGTTAGAGGTCTTAATACAAAACTTTCCGATTTGTATTTAAACAGCATTCACTGTAACTTTCTGATTTTGCTTTCACAGAGACTTGGCTAAAGCCTTACATTTTTGATAATGAAATACTCAACAGCGAATTCGAAATCTATAGATATGACCGGCTGAACAGAAAAGGAGGTGGTGCCTTGTTTGCTGTTCATTCTTCCATTCGAAGAAGTCGATGTTTCGCATGCAGACTTCATAGAATTTAAGTGCAATCGCATTTGCGCTAATAGTGGCCATATATACTTAAATTTATCTTTTATACCGCCTCACTCGGATATATCTGTTTATATGCAGCATGCTTCATTAATAAATATTGTTTTCTCAATGGCTAACAATACTGATTCCATGACTGTTTTGGGGGATTTCAATTTACCGTGCGTGCGTATCATGGAAAACTATAGATGATCACACCATTCCTATTAGTACTCGCTTATGTTTTAACGAGTTTTTAGATGAAATATCGGGGTTACTCATAATAATACACAAGATCCTTGTTTTCTGATCAACTTTGCGAAAGCTAATTTGAAGAAGATTAATTACGAACTTTCTAAAGTAACTTGGCCAGATTACAGTGGCAATATTGAATTTAGTGCTTCCCACTTTAATGAAACTATTTTAAACTTATTTGAAAAATATGTTCCGAAGTGTGTTGTTACTCAAAAAATTAGTTCTAATTTATGCTTCTCGAAAGAATTATGCAAATTAAAGAACAGAAAGTCTCGTGCTTTTAAACTTTTTAAAAAAAACTGGTTTAGTTGCTGACTATTCAAAATATTCTAAATTGTGTCGACAATTTACTGAACTTAACAAAATATGTTATAATAATTACAATAAATAAAGTAAAAAATAATATTATACGTAATTCAAAACTGTTGTATGGTCTCGTCACCTCCAAATGCAGGATTTCTAATTTTCCGTCTGCTATGAAATAAGTCTAGTATGTCTAGTAACAATAATCTCTGAGTTCTTCAAGTCCAATTACTCTCCAAAATCTGAAAAAAACGTTCCGCATCAGCACAAGGTATGTTCGATTTCTGTCATTAATGCACCTACCATTTCCGAAGCAGACGTCTTATATTAGAACAATCATACAATTATGGCCCAGATATGATTCCCTCGTGCTTTCTTAAAAAATGTGCCACATATATATACCATCCCCTAGCAAAACTATTTAATTCATCTCTTATGAAGGGCTTATTTCCATCCATATGGAAAAAGTCATTTATAATTCCTTTACATAAGAGTGGATTTAGGTCATCTATTGAAARCTATAGGGGAATAGCAAAGTTGTCTGCAATACCTAAACTTTTTTCGTAAAGGGAAATCTACAATAACTAATTTGCTTGAATTTGTATCACATGTATCAACTTGCTTTAGGGAGAATAAGAACACTGATATTATATACACAGATTTTAGTAAAGCTTTCGATAAAGTATCCCATTCAATTCTTTTGAATAAACTTGATCTTCTTGGTTTCCCACCAATATTTCTAAAATTGGTGGCTTCTTATCTTAGTAATAGAATTCAACAAGTCATATTTTCTGACATAATCAATGTTCCTTCATGCGTTCCTCATGGTAGCCATCTTGACCCAATTCTGTTCTTGTTATTTATGTATAGCGAAAGATGTCAGTTGCAAACAGACTTAACAACCTAGTTTCTTGGTGTGTTAGAAATGACATACCATTGAACCTTAAAAAATGTAAAACGATGTGCTTTTCACGTAGATCTGTAGACCCTACTTCATGCAGTTTTGTTGATCTAGGAGTAAATATGGACCCCAAACTCAATTTTAGTCTTCACGCATCTTCCACGGTTTTTGAAGCTAAAGGCGCTCTTAGTTTTGTTAAACGTTGGTCTAAAGAATTTAGAGATCCGCTTACCAGAAAAATTCTTTTTACATATTTGGTGAGGCCTATATTAGAGAATGCATCTGTGGTTTGGAA